GAGGAAGTGAGGTCAGTGTGAAAAACATTGCCAGCTGCGGAAGCAGCACGAACACGCCAGTGTCTGAGCAGACAATGCAGGGAACGATCACACAGGACCTTCTAGGCCCATGGTGAGCGCCTGGAGCTCTGTGCTGGGGGTGTTGAGAAGCTGCAGGGGAGTTTAAGCAGGACAGTTTAGATCTGGTTTAAATTTCTTATTCAGGTTGGCTGTATTGAGGACGGATTGCAGAGGAACAAGAACAGAAGCAGGGTAACCTGGGAGGACTTTGCTATGGCCCAGGAGAAAGGCAGTGATGGTTTGGCCAAGGCTGACAACAGTTGGGGGAGTGAGAAGTGTCGGATTTGATGATTTCATGCATGTTCATGATAGTGTGTCTGGAGATGAGGTTATATTTCTTTTTCTTCTTAAATTATTTTAACTCTATTTATTTTAATTTGATCAGAGAGGGACAGATAGAGAGAGAGAGAAAGTGAGAAAGCAAGCCGCCAGGTCTGGGACTTGAACTGTTGTTGGCCATGTTGGAGTGCAGTGCCTCTAACCACCACACCAGCTGCTGGCCCCATGGGTCATATGAATTCTAAGGTCCTTTCTAGCTTTCCTGCTCTGCGTTTCCACTATTCAGCACCTGAGGAGATAGTCTATGTACAGTGGCACTCACAGGTGTATCAGGAAAGATAAGTCTGATAAACACAATGAACACACTGAGCATTCCAAGAGCAGGTAAGAGGCGGTAGGACTAGAGATTATGTTTTCATTTTCGGTATTGCAGATTAGTAAAATATTTGGTTTTAGTTCATTACTTTCAAGTGTCATTCCACTTTATAGGATAAACTAAAATTTTATTTGTCATTCAAATACTCAAATATTCATTCTCAACAACATTTAAAGCCATTGAGTATTAGACATATTCAATAACATTTATTGAGCAAATCTAGAAGAAGAAAGATCTTGATTTAAAAGTTAAAGAGGGACCAGCAGTTAGCGTAATGGCTATGTCGCTGGACTCCCATGTAGTCAACCGTGGTTTGAGTCCCGGACTCGGTGGTTTAAACTCATGCTGGGCACGTGTGCGTGCTTACCCAAAATCCCCAGAGGAGAATGGAGGAGAAGGAATTGTGGCATGACCATGCCCCCTGGGGGGTGATTTCTCGCTTTCTGTCTCTCTCTCTCTCTGTCTTTGTGGTGAGCGCATGTGCCATATAGCAAAAACCTCTCCCAAAAAAAAAGTTAAAGAAAAGCAGAACTTTTAGAGACTGCATTTTGCTTTTGTAGACTTTACAACAGTTTGAGGCTGGAGAGTAGTGCAGTGGTAAATCACGATTCTCGGTGGGGCTGATTCACCGGCGAAGGTTCCAGGTTCATGTCTGACTTCAGGCACAACCGTGTCCACGATTTGGGACTGGCTGAAGCTGGGGGTGAATCGTGGCATCAGCACCATGCTGGGAGTACATTATTTCTGTCTCTCTTGCTCTCTGAAGTAATTAACACAGTAAATTGAAAAGACCCACAGGACGAGCTGGTGGGATGGTGGTTACAGGTGGTCCGGTAGTGAGCCCAGTATTCCAGTCTCAGGGTGTTGGCCTTGTGTCTCATCACATGGGATTCTATAAGAGCAGTTCTGGTCTCGCTGGGAAGTACATCAGTGTATGTGCTGTGTAATCTACTCGGAAAGGGCCCAGGGCAGGGCGAGCAGTGATCTAGGAGCCAACCAACGTCCTGTAAAGGGCTGGAGAGCAACTCTTTTAGACTCTGTGGACGCTCAGTGTTCGTCACACCCTCAGTCCTGCCTTCACAGCACACAGGCAGCCATAGCCAATACGCCGAGGAATGAGCATGGCTGTGCCCATCAGGACTTCAAGGGCACGGAAATACATGGGTTTTCCATAATTCCTTTTCATCGCCGGAGGACACGAGTGCTCCCCAGAAAGAAACAAAGAGGGAGAGAAAACCCTCTCAGTGAGGTGTAGTCACACTACACCTTACCCTTTGCCTACCTGTTTTCATTCTGTCAGGATTTGGGGCATGCATGCACACATTCCTGGCATGTTTTTTTTTAAACCTTTGGAGTGGGGATTTAAACCCGTTGGCCATAAAAGATCTGGCCCCCTTAACTACTACACTATGGGGCTGGCCTTCACATAATTTTTCTGTCACAAAATATCCTTTTGACTTTTGCAATCAGCAGGATATAAACACTTCTTACCTTGTGGTTGAAATTGATCTGTAGACTCTAGTTTACCAGCCTCTGATCTAGAGTCTGACCTGGTGTTGTACAATAGCACTGTGATGATGGAAATGTTTTATTTTTGCCCTGTTTTGGTATAGTAGCTACTAGCTGCAATGGTTATGGACCACCTGAAATGTCACCGGTATAACTAGGGTACTAATAATTTAGTCTTCCTCTCCATTCCTGTAGCCCTCATCGATTTTCTAAGGATTAATGCATGGTTTCCTAACTCATCTTTTGTCTCTAATATCACTTTCCTCTAATTCATCCTTTACAAAGATGGAGGGATTTTTCCAAAATTATATAGACTCCTACCACTTCTCCAAAGATAATGTTTCCTGCAAACTTTAGAAAGTTCAACTGGCTAGCATACCATATAAATCCTCTCCTTAGCAAATGTGACAAAGAGGTAAAATACTTTCCTCTGATCAAATAAGTTGTGGTGAGTTTTTTGACAGTAATCCTTCATCACATGGTGTCTCCTCTAACAGTTTACATAGTGGTCTATTAAATGATATCATGGAGAAAACTCTGGAGGAAAGTTCAGTCAGAGTCAGGGGCCAGCCAGCTGATGAGGTGGTTAAGAGAGCTGGATTTTACCCACAGAACCAATTGAGTAGTGCAAATCCTGGCCCTGGCTGTTTGAAAAATACACCAGGTGTGAGGTTGGCAGGTTGGATGGTGGTTAAGGTGTTCGACTCCCATATGGTTGACTAGGTTTCAAGTCCTGGACCTAGTGGCTTGCTTTCTCACCTTCCCTTTCTCAGTTTCTCTATCTCTCTCTGGTCAAATTCTAAAAATAAGAATAATGATGATGAATAAAATTAAATATTTTTTTAAAAAGCTTAGCACAAAAACCCCACCAGGTGCATGTGTGCATGTGCCCAAAATTGCAAGAGGAGAATGGAAGAGAAGGGATTGCAGTGTGGTCATTCCCATGGGTAATGCTTTCTCCCCCAAACCTTGGGATTTGGGGCACACATGCACCCGGTATGAATTTTAAGCTGCCAGGTCCGAGACTTGAACCGTTGTCAACTATGCGAGAGTCCAGTGATGTAGCCTTATGCCATCTGCTCATTCCACCATTATTATTTTTTCCAAATTTGAACAGAGAGAGACGGAGGGTGTTGGGTGAGAAAGCAAGCTGCCAGGTCCAAAACTTGAACCACAGTCAGCCATGTGGGAGTCCAGTTCCCCAGCCACCACGCCACCTGCCTGGCCCTGATTCTTGACAGTTGAATGATCACATCATATGAGCAAGTCAGAAAAAAAAAAGTGGTTATTTTATCTTTAAGTATCTACAGGGATTTCCAAAGGGACTTTCTCAATGAGTTTTTAGGAGTGGCAGTAGGAAAACAAGGTTAAAACAACTTATCAGGTAGGAATAACTGAATAATTTAAGCGTACATAGGTAATATTCTTTTCCCCTTCCTTAAGCACAGCCTTAGAACACAAGATTAAGGATACTAAGATTAACTATGCTTTTCATTAGACTATGTTACAGTTCAAGTGGGATCTTATCAGTACTTCATTGTAGGAGGCTACGCAAGAGGGAATATTGCTGGTTTCTCAGAGAGCAGACAATTACACAATGACAAAGGCCATGATTGGCTCCCCTTCAAAACCTCACCTTCAAAACCATACTCTGATTGGCCACTTCCCATAGCAAATTGGTGAGCTTAGAATCCCTCAGATTTGCATATCTGGCACCACAAAAGCATCCAATCATAACCCACCTTTTACAATCCTTCATTTAACCAATCACTGCCCACCAACATGTACAGAACCACCATCCCTGGCCCACAATCACCAGACGACCCTGAAGAGTCATTGCTCCACTGTGCTGTCCCGTCTTTTACTCCTTCCCTCAGGAAACCTGTTCGACTGTCCTGCCTGGATTGGGACACTTCATTTCTCAGTTCTTGAAATCAGTGTGACTCGCTTTCCTACAAAATGCAAAAGGACACATCATTTATGGCTTGCTTTTTTTTGTTGTTTTGTGAAGGGCAATAACATTTTTTGAATTTAAGTTTTCTAAAACACTTAATACATCTGTTTCAGAATACTTAAATTACATGCAAATGTGTATAAAACGACATCAGGCTCCAGATTAGGACTTTTTGGAGGACAGGGACTCATCTTTGTGTGTCTCACTCAGCCTGATGTTGACAGGTGGTAAACCACACTGGCAAACTGGTGGCAGTTCGCGTGTGCTCCCGGTGGTATTCAAGTTTGCAATCCCTACCCTCAGTAAGTTCATGTCAGAGACTCCAATGACATGGGCAAGGTAATCAGGAGGATTTCTTAATCACCCACCTCACCAGCACGCAATCGGAGAAGACTGCTGGTTCAAACTCCGTACACTCCAAACCGCCCCAGGTAACAAACCCTGTGGTGGGGCCTTTCCTTTTCTCCTACATCAGCATCCAATCCTCACGGGTGTTCTCTTTCAAATTACTATTTGCAGTTTACATAAGTTTTGATAAATTTTAGATGATCTTTAAAATGGTAACAGTCTAAGCTGCACTTTTTACTTATTATTTTTACTAAGTAGAACTTGTATCTTTGTTACAGAGCCCCTCAGCAACAGGAATAATCTATCCTGGTCAGAGAAAGAAGGGAGACAGTCCGAATCACAAGGAAAGGGAGGAAGACAGCCCAACCCCCCCCCCTGCCACTCCCCTTTCGGGACTGAAAGTGGAGAGGTGGGAGGGGGAGCGCAGGCGGCCGACCCACGTGACCTCAGCCCCCAGCCGACCCCGCCCCTCGGGCCCCTGCTGGGGGGGCGCATGCGCAGCCCGCGTTAGTGATGGAGGAGAGAAGATGGCGGAAGCGGAGTGAGTGACTTGCTGGTGACTGATATCGTTAACTGGGGGGCGAGTGGGGGCAGCGGCACGTCCCCCAGGGCACAGCTCAGGACTCTTTCGAGGGCAGCGTGGAGGAAGGGTGACCAGAGAGCCGCCTTAGAGCGGAGGAGCCCGCCCGATCGGGTCGGGGGGCGGAGGCGGACTGCGAGGGTCCAGTTCCCTCGGTGCTGGGAGCGCCTCCTGCGCGGTGTGGTCCCCGGTGGCGGCGGGCCTGCGCCGGTTGGTCCCCTCGGGGGGGTCTCCCGGGAAGCCAGCCCGGGTGGGCCCCTCCGGCGCTGTCATCCCTGCAAGTGGGCCTCCGTGGTCGCCTTGTCACAGCTGCCCGCGCCGGGGACCCTCGGGGGCCGAGTGGGGCCGGGCTGGTGGGGCCGGGCCTCCTCTGCGCCCCCTCCGGCGCGCCCCGCCGGCGTGGACGCCGCCAGCGCGCAGGAAGGCAGTGTCCCTCGGGCGGGCGGGCGCTCAGTGAGCGACTCCGAAACTTAGCGCTTCCTGGGTAGGCCTCTTGGCGCCGGGGCCGCTGCCTCCTGCGGGTGTCCGGGTGCGGAGACGGCCGAGTTCCCCACGTTGCTCTTTTGTGCCAGGCCTCCACCCGCAGGGCCGCGGTTGGCCGACGCCGCGCGCCCGGGTTCAGGCTCATCCTGGAATCGGACTCTCGGTGACCGTGTTTGGTTAAGTCAGAACTGCCTGCCTTAGCGTGTGGGTGTGGGGACCGGGTCGAGCAGCAGGACACACGGACGCCACCTAAGCTGGCCTCTGCGTATATATCGCTGCTACCTGGGTATTTTGCCACGCAATAATTCGGTGAAAAGTTTAGCTCCTCTCTCACTAATTCTGTGTGATATTAAACACCACGTGACGTTGTGATTTGATGATGGGAAGGCAGTTTGGGGGGAAAAAATCCCCAGCGAGGTCTGAGTCATTTAGTCATCAAAGAAAGTTAGGAATCAACTTCTCCCCCCCCCAATACATATTTTTCCTTTCACTTACATTCTTAATCAGAGGAGTTCATTTTTTCTACGTACTTCCTCTGAACATATCAGTACTGTTTACAAATTCATGATACACAGAACAAAGGAAATGTGTACAAAAATGGGAATAACGTAAGCATGCACGGTAAATGCCAGATTCCTTTTTTTATTCGGGAACTGGAAAGCGTTCTTGTTACGTTCTTGTCAATGCCACCTAAGCGAGGTGGGTCAGGTTTTGTTTCTAGGAGAAAAGACAGGTAAGTAAAGGCAGGTGAAACTGTGAGCTCAGGCATGCTTTTTACCCACCGGCGCACATTTCTGATCCTACTAAAACTACTGTAGTTTTAGTTTCCAACAGTATCGATGCCCCTAAAGTTGACTTAAAATGTTTGAATGTATTCAAATATAGATTTTGTATTTACTGGAATTTTGTGTGACACAGATGAAGTAAGATTCTAATACTGGAGGGAAAAGATCATAAAGTCTAGTACAAAAATGTACTGTACTACATGAAGATGGCGACATAATATGCTCTTAAACATTCGGAGAAATTCTAAATGAAGAACAGATTTTGTCAGGACAGAGGAAATTGCCGCTGGCTTCTTTCTTTCCCCAGAGTCATCTGCTTATAAGTAACATGCAGTTATTAGAAGTACTAAGGACAGTGTTATAGACTAATGATGGGAAAAGCAATGCTAGTTAAAATTTTTTATTTCTTCTATTAACTTATTATGATTTTTGAAAATTTTTGCCAGAGGGTGTGTGCATGTGCCACAATGAGACAGGGAAGGAGAGGAGGAAGCACCCCTCAGTGTGGCATGGTCACACCACAACGCCCTCTTCCATTTCTCCATCCTGTGGGGACGTCGGGCTTGTACACACCCACATCCAGTGTGTTTCTCAAGCTACTGGCCGTGGATTTCAGCCATTAGGTGGGCCATGTGGGAACTGACTCCCGCAGCCGTTAGGCTGTAGGGCTGGCCCTATTAACATATTTCTTAAAAGAACTTTTCTCATTTTAAGAAAAAAATGGACATATTAATTGTACATATTTAAGGGGTACAGTATGATCTTTTTTTCTTTTTTCTTTTTGGAGAGGATTTTTTTTTTGCTATAGGGAGCATGCACTTGCCAGAAAGACAGAGACAGAGAGACAGAGAGAAGTCAAAACCCTCCCCTCCCCAAGGAGAGGGCCACACTGCAGTTCCTTCTCCTCCATTCTCCTCTCAGGATCTTGGACATGCACGCACATGCGCCTGGTGTGAGTTTAAGCCACCGAATCCCAGACTCGACAGCGACATAGCCATTACGCTAACTGCTGGTCCCTGATTTTTTTTTTTTTTTCAATACCTGACTACAGCGTGTAATACTCAAATCAGGGTAATTGATAAATTTATCATCTCAGACTTTAGTCATTGTTTTGTGTTGAGAACATTCAAAATTCTTTAGCTGTCTTGAACTGTACAATGAATTACTGCTAACTGTAGTTACCCTACTCTGCTATAGAACACCAGAATATGGTCCTTTCTTTTCTTTTTTCTTTTTTTTTTTAATTTGTCAGAGGGTGTGTGTACTCACGAGAAACAGAGAGAGAGAGAGGAAGAAAACATGCCCAGTGTGGCATGGTCACGCTGCAGTCCCTTCTGCATTTCTCTTTCCTGTTGGGATTTTGGGCATGTGTGCACATGCCTGGAGTGTTTTTCAAGCTGCTAGAACTGGGATTCTAATAGTGGTTGGCCATGTGGGATCTGGTTTCCTTAAATACTAGGCTATGGGGCTGGCCCAGAACATGTTCCTTCTGTAATAGCTTATTATAATTTGTAGATGTTAACTAGCATCTTCCTGTCCCTCTTTTTCCTTGGTCCTTCCTACCTGTAGTAACCACTATTCTCTGTTTATATGAGGTCTTTTTTTTTTTTTTTTTAGTTTCCATATGAATGAGAACATACTTTTCTTTCTGCCATCTGGCTTATTTCACGCAACATAATGCCTTCCAGGTTTGTCCACGTTGCCTTGAATGACAGGATTTCATTCTGTTTCATGGCTGAATAGTATTCTGTTGATATATACATCCTACATTTTCTTTATCCTTCACCCATTGAGAATACTTAGGTTGATTCCATAACTTGGTTGTTGTGACTAGTGCTGTAGTAACCATTGGAGTGGTTATCTTTATACAGGGTATTGGCTTCCTTCCCTTTGGGTATGTACCTAATGGTGAGATCACTGGGTCATATAGCATAGAGAACTTATTTTTAAGCAAAGTATATATGTTAACAAGACTAAATTAGTTGACTGAAGTTCTTAGACATTCTATTTTAAATGTATAGGTAATAATAATTCGTAAAGAAATGTCTAAAGTACTGTGATACTACTTGCATTTTGATTTTTCTAGGTAGTTTGGCATTCTCTCATCACTTGCTTTGGTTTCAAAACTCTTACATTGGGTCATCAGGAAAGTCATGACGCATTTTTGCATAGAAAAATATGTCATGACTTTTCCAACAACCTAAGATTTTGACAATACAAAGATAATCTTTAGGCCAGGCTTTATTTGAGTTACTTATTCTGAATCATTTGAATTCATATTTAGCTATTGAATGTGCTGTATACATGTGAAGTACAATACTTTTAGCCTTAAGTATTTTATGAGGTCCTTCTGGAAATTTAGACTATTGCTGATTATTTCTTTAGAATGAGTATTCTTTTAAAATTGGTGAGGTAGTGCTTTGACCAATATAGACCTTTGTGTTATCTGCTAGATTTAAGGACCATAGTACAGCTATGGATGGTGAACCAGCTGGGACGTCTGTGTCGACGACAACCAGTAGCACGACCACTACCACCATCACCACTTCCTCCTCTCGGATGCAGCAACCCCAGATCTCTGTCTACAGTGGTTCAGACCGACATGCTGTACAGGTATTTCACTTTAATGATGCTGGGCCAAGACTTGGGATGCATTCCTTCTTGCTTAAGCCTGGTTCATGGATTGTTTCATATCCTCCAGTGCACATTTAGAATTGTTAATGTTTGAAACAACCAACAAAGTTATTTAACAGTCATACTATTGAGAGAGCCTACATTTGTCAGCATATACTTTGTAAGAGAGTGTGTCAGTAAAATAATAATTAGAAAGTCTTGGCTGCTGCTACAATGTGAAGACACTCAAGCTAGAGCCCTAACATGGGGCATACTCTAGGTTTTTCTAGACCATTTTACTGTTGAACCCAAAGTAGAGACTTAAAGAGATCTGTCCAAGTAAATGTGATAAGAGGTTAATTTTAAATGTAGTATCCTAAGCAAGAAGATTGGTTCTAAATCTCTTAGTAACAGAGGAGAAAGGGAATATTTAACCAGGAGAAATCTTAGTTGACAAAATGAGTTTCTTAGCCTGTATAATAATGGAGGTTGAGGCCCTGTGGTCTTATGTACAAAGGGATGGATATACCAGTCTGACATGCCCTTTGTTTGAATTCCATTTTCATTATCATTAGTTGCTGTGTAACCTTGAGTGAGAGACATAATTTCCTTAATCCTCAGGAAACTAAAATAAGGGCGAGATTACCTACTTCATAGTTACTATAAGGATTAAGTGAAGCATCTAGAACTGTGTGGAGCACATTTATTGGTACCCAATAAGTAACTATAGCTATTATCTATTGAACACTTGTTATGTGCTAGATATTTGATAAATTATTTATATCGTGCCATAGTTTGAATATGTCCCCAAAGATTCATGTGATAAGCCATTGTAATTAGATTAAGAGAGTGGAAATTTTACCCTGATTGTGGTGTGGGAAAGTAGGGCCTTTGGGAAGAGATTAGTGATTTGGTGGTTAGGGCAGGACCTCCATAATTGAGTTCTTTTACGTGTTGGATTGTTAGAAAAGTTATGGTGCATTTTGCATAGAAAAAATATATCATGACTTTTCTGACAACTCAATGTATAAAAAGAGGAGAAGAGGCAGGCAGAAGCCACATGGTCCAGATCATGCTCTGCTTTGCTTAAGATCCTGCCCTCTGTCATGTTGTAGCTTCAGCAGAGGTTGGACCCTGAACCTCCACACCATGGGTTGAATAAACCCATATTTCTTTATGGAATCACCCAGTCTCAGGTATTTCTGTTAGCAATGCAATAATGGACTAAAACATACAGATTATGTTGTTTAATTCTCACCACACCTCCATGAAATAGATACAGTCCTTAAATTTAGTGATTGGATTTAAGATTTGCCTCTGTGATGGTATGAAAGGTATATGCATAAGATAGAAGCCATACTTCCAGTACTTACACAATAATTAAACAATTTAAAAAAAAATATTGCTTCTATAGGGAGCTTGCACTTGTCAGAGAGAGAGAGAGAGAGAGAGAGCAAGAGAGCATCCCCAGGAGGATAGTCATGCCGCAGTCCCTTCTGTTCTTCTGTTTGGACTTTGGGCATGTACACATGTGTGCCCAGCATGTCTTTGAAGCTGCCGGGTCTGGACTCAACTCGAACCAGGCAGTCAGTCCTGTGGGATCCAGCTGCTTTAACCACCACGTCCCCAGCTGGCCCCCACAACCATTTTATTTTCATCTTTAGTACAATATTCAACAAATTATATAAGATAGTCAATACTTTATTAGAAAATAGGCTTTATTTTAGGTGATTTTGCCCAACTGTAGGCTAATGTAAGTGTTCTGAGCATGTTGAAGGTAGGCTAGGTTGAGCTGCGATGGTTAGTATATTGGATTGTTGAAAAAGTCATGACATATTTTTCTAAGTAAAAGTGCATCATGACTTTTCTGACAAACCAACATTAGGCACATTAAGTGCGTGTTTTCTTTTTACTATTATGTTTTTAATGATCAGGGCATGTGTACCTGCCAAGAGAGGCAGAGAGAAGGGGAAAGCACAATCTAATGGGTCATGGTCATGCCATAATCCGTTCTCCATCTCTGTCTTGTTGGGAGTTGAGGTACACACACATGCTCCTGATGTGCTTCTCATGCCACTGAGTCTAGAATTCAAACTGCTTGTCCTTGTGGGATCTGGTCCCTTAACCACTAGGCCATGGGGCTGGCCCTCAATGCTTTTTTTTAAAGGAATTATTTATTTAATCTTATTTATTATTATCATTTTTCAGTTTGACCAGAGAGAGAGAGAGAAAGTGAGAAAGGAAGCCACCAGGTCCAGAACTTGAATCATGGTCAGCCACATAGGAGTCCACCTCAGGCTCCTCACCACAAACGCATTTTTAACTTAACAATATTTTCAATTTAGATAGGTTTATTGAATGTAACCTTATTGTAACGTACTATTATTATCTCCAGGGAAATCCAGTGTTCTAAATAGGCTAAAATAACTTTCACAAACTCACATAGCAAGTAGGTTTTCTGAGTTTAGAATTTGTGCCCTTAACCACTCAATTCTTTTTTTTTTTTTTTACTCTTAACCTGCTTGCTTCCTCTAAAATTTTTATAATTGTGTTCTGTCCTGAAAACAACTTTCAATGTACTTTCAATGTTCTTCACCTTTCTCTGAGACAACAGATAACGAAGAGTATCTGGATCTCTGAACATACAGATGATGTGATATGTTTTTTAAAATAATTATTCATTTGATTTTATAATTATTATTTAAATTTGCTGTGGGACACGTGCGTTCACCAGAGAGAGAGAGAAGGTGAGAAAGCAAGCTGTCAGGTCTGGGACCTGAACTGAGGTTGGCCATATGGGAGTCCAGCACCCTAACCACTATGCCACCTGCCAGCCCCATGATGTGGTATTTTAACGTGCCATTTTGTTGCCTCATTTTCACTTAAACTGGACGTGTTAGTAAAGGATAGATTTGGCCTAGCCACAGAGGCACAGCATGAGGGCGCTGCCGTGTGACGCTGGAACCACGTGGAAGGTGCTGGGTTGGTTGACTGTGTGCGCCATGTCCCTGGCCTCCGAGACAGTGGAGAGGAAGATCATAGAGTGCTGAGACCCTGCCAAGGGCACCTGTCTCTACTAGTCTGTTTTTACATTGCTAACAGATACCTGTACCTGGCTGATTTATAAATCAAATAGACGTTTCTTTACAAAACTCACAATTTTGGTGACTGCCAAGTCCAAATGCTCACACAGTGGCAGAAGGCAGAACTTTAGCAGAGCAAAGTATGATCCGTATCCATGAATTTCTTTCTCTTGTTTCAGTCCCATTTCTTCTGCTTATAAACCCAACAGAGTGCGGTTTTAGGAGACCCTCCCTAATGACCTGGGATCTCATGGAGGGGTTAGGTTTTTACTTTACAATCAAGTCTCACTGTGAACTTTTGGAGAATAGGCAATCACCACCCACTAAAACCAGATTCCAAACCATGAACCTTTGGGAGATAAATCATTATCTAAACCATAGTACTGTCTCTGTATTTCTCTCATGAATGAAAGAAACTTAAAAAGTTTTTACGGGCGATATGTGGAGGTAGATGTTTTCTTACAAATAGCACATATTATAGTTCTTTTGAGATCATAGAATTGCTTCTCCTAAAATGCAATCAGATCAATATTTATTGATTTATCTAAGTTTTTTAATCATCCAGCATTCTTTTCCAGTCCTGTGAATTCTCTTCACCCTCCTTGTTCTTGTACAGGAACAAAATAAGAAAAATGTGTTGTACCTTCAACTTGTATTTACTCAATGCCATGAATATAGATAGCATTGAATGATAATGAAAGACCATGCCAATAGTGTTGCCTGATAAAGGATCCTCCACCTCTAGTCCAGGGACCCAAAGCAGGTTAAACCCATAGCCTCTTTTTTTTTTTTCTAAGAATTATTTTATTGGGACCAGTAGTTAGCGTAATGGCCATGTCACTGGACTCCCACATAGTCGACCGTGGTTTGAGTCCTGGACGCTGTGGCTTAAACTCACGCTGGGCACGTGTGCGTGCATGCCCAAGATCCCGAGAGGAGAATGGAGGAGAAGGGATTGCAGCGTGGCCATCCCCCCTGGGTGTGATTTCTTGCTTTCTGTCTGTCTCTGTCTGTCTGGCGAATGCACATGCCCTATAGCAAAAACCTCCCCCCCAAAAAAGAATTATTTTATTTAAATTTATTTATTTATTTATTTATTTATTTATTAAATTTGACCAGAGAGGGGCAGAGTGAACTAGAGAGGGAGAAAGAGACGGAAAGTAAGAAAGCAAGCCACCAGGTCCGGGACTTGAACCATGGTCAGCCATGAGGGAGTCTAGCGCCCTTAACCAACACTACCTGCTGGGTCCCCTGTTGCCTCTTTAACAAATATCAGAGAGTCAAAAATATTGATGAGAGAGAAAAGGAGACTGTATTATAGTGTGGTCTTACCAGGAAGACACATAAAAACAAACACCTTTAACCAATCAGCCAATGTGCAGATACTCTTAAAGGGGTGGAAGATGCTGTGGAGCTAATGGCTATCTATACAAAAGCATGGATCAGGTTAATTTTTAGCTGGGGATCACAAGTGATTCCTCCAGATTCAGTTTTAGCTGAGTGGTCAAGTGATTCATCTTCAAGACAGGAGTTTCAGTTTCTGCTTGAGGCATAATGTATGTCTCTCTCTTTTTTCTATAGGGCCCATGCATTCACCAGAGAGAGGCAAAGAGGAAAAGTGAGAAATCACCCCGTAAAGGAAATGGCAATGTCTCAGTCTTTTCTTCTCCATTCTCTGTTTGGGATATAGGGCACACGTGCACATTTGCCTGGTGTGTTTTTTAAGGCATTGAGCCTGGGACTTGAACCATGTAATCAGCCATGTGGGATTCAGCTGCCTTAATCTCCATGCCACCTGCTGACCCAATAATGTCCCTCATTGTTTCAAACTCCAGATTAACTGTCTCTCTCCTTGAAAAATCTCTTTTTTTTTTTTAGAGGTTTTTTTCACTATAGGGTGCGTGCGCTCGCCAGAAAGACAGAGAGAGACAGAGAGGCAGAAAGCAAGAAATTAACCCCCCGGGGGGATGGCCACGCTGCAATCCCTTCTCCTCCATTCTCCTCTCGGGATCTTGGGCACGCACGCACACACGCATGCACATGCGCCTGGTATGAGTTTAAGCCATTGGGTCTGGGACTCAAACCGCAGTCGACTACATGAAAGTCCGGTGACATAGCCATTATGCTAACTGCTGGTCCCTATTATTACTATTTTTCAAATTTGCTATAGGGCATGTGTGTTCACCAGAAAGAGAGCGAGTGAGCAAGCTGCAGGACCAGCAGATGGCATAGCAGTTACGTCACTGGGCCCCAATGGCTGGCTGTGTTTTGAGTCCCAGACCTGGTGGCTTGAAAAATCACCCCTGGCACGTGTGTGGGTGCCCAAGATCCTGGGAGGAGAATGGAGAAGAAGGGATTGTGGTGTGGCCATCCACCTGTGGGGTGGTGTCTCACTTTCCGTCGAGCACATGCACCCTAAGGCATAAAGCTCTTAAAAAACAACAACAACAAAACAAGCCACTGGAACTGGGACTTGAACCAGAGTTGACCAAGTGGAAGTCCAGCACCTCAAGCACTACTATGTCACCTGCTGGTTTATTTAACTTTTTTTTTTTTTAAGAATTTTTTTTTTTATTTAAATTTAACTTTTAAAATTTATTATTATTATTATTTTCCAGTTTGATCAGAGAGGGAGGGAAAGTGAGAAAGCAAGCCACTAGGTTTGGGACTCGAACTGCAGTTGGGAGTATAGCGCCTTTAACCACAATAAATGCCTCCTGCTGGCCCCTCAAATAATTTTTTTTTGGTTGCTTTAGGGAGTATGTGCTTGCCAGAGAAAGAGGAGAAAAGGAAAGTGAGAAAGCATCCCACAGACATGATGGCCATGCCACAATCTCTTCTCCTTCATTCTTCTTTCTGGATTTTGGGCACACACACACACACACACACACACACACACACTGTTCTGTTTTTTTTTTTAAGCCACCAAGTCCAGTACTGGAACCAGGCAGTTGGCCATGTGGGATCCAGCTGCCTTAACCACCAAGCACTGACTAGCCCTATGTTGTAATTCTAAAACCCTGTGGAGTCCCTGCAACTAGGAGTCAAAGCTGGCACTCATTTTGTGACAGGGATTTTTAGCAGGTATACCTCTCTTAACTGGAGAGATGACATAAGAACACATGAAATTAAACCATGAAAGACAGAAATATCCTTTCGTGAAATTTGGATGAAGGGATTCATGGTTTTGTGGTTCAAGATGGCCTGACTTAGATCTTCAAGCTACAGGATTATGGTTCTAGTGCTCCTTTATCTCTGAAAAGTTTGTGGTTTTGCTGAGATTAGAGTTCAGTGCTGTTTCACAGTGGGCCTTAGTGTGACTTTGGGATGCGTTTGTGGAAGACTAGTAAAGTTGAATTTATCTTTTGAACAGATGCAAAATGTTTTTCTAGTCTTACTAGGATATTTGACTTTTCTGTATTTATCTATTTGTGAAGTTTTGGGCTCAGATTTTACTAATAAGTTATTCATAGTAACACTTTATATATATATATTTTTTTTTTAAGGTTTTTGCCATAGGGTGCAAGCACTTGCTGAAGAGAAATAGTGAGAGAGAAAGTGAGGAATCACCCCCCGTAATAGATGGCCTGGTTGCAATCCATTTTACTCCATTTTCCTCCTGGGATTTTGGGCACGCATACACATGTACCCTGCATGATATTTGAGCCACCAGGTATGGGACTTGAACTGTGGTTGGCTGTGTGGGAATCCAACATCTTAACTACCACACAACCTGCTGGTCCCCACAGTAACAGATTTTTAGAAAATGTTTTAGTTTTTTCTGTTTTGTTTTTGGGTTTTTTTGGTTACATATGCTGGTATTCTTTCTTTCTTCTTCTTCTTTTTTTTTTTTTTTAGAATTATTTAATTTAGGGGCCAGCAGGTGGCATGGTGTGGTGGTTAAGGGCACTTAACCACCATGTCACGTGCCAGTCTCAGTTGCAATAGTTTT